ATTTCGCCTGGCGAATTTTCCCCTACGAGAGTTCAAAGAACTCGGCGTGTCCGCGTTATCCAATCAGCATTTATCGGATTAATAAGCTACGATTGCGGGTATCCATCGGACTAGAGAAACGTCGCGCGTGCTAATGAGGCTAATAACTTTATTGGCCGGCCGATCGTGGTTGTTTATAGATCGATCGCGGAAGGTTTTCGCCTTTTTCTTTCTCCCTTTTTTCCGAAGCGCCGGTGATCGTCGATTCGAGAGCCATACGCGGAAGTGCTCGTCGCCTATCTCGCTTGGCGCGTGTTCCACGATCGATCTGAATCCGCGAGCGCGCGAAGAAAGTTTTTCGGCAAGCAAATCAGCAGTTTTTGAGAGGAGTTATTATCATCCGCGCGTTTCTTCCGCTTACACACGGCCTGTCGCTACTTAGCGGAGAAAGTGCGTGGCGCGTGTAATTCAATTGTGTCTCTTTTCTTTCTCTCCCTTTTTCCAGTAGCTCGATCGCCGGCTATGATTTTATTAATGCCGGGATCGCGAGCGTTTCATGGAAATGAAAAGCGATCGAGGCGCGCGGCTTCCATCGTAAAAGCAAAGTTCTCAGAAGCACAGCGGATAACAGGGCAAGGGGAGCCAAGGATCACGCGAAGAGCGAGAAGAATGCGAGCGCGATTTTCTCCGATTACGTAATTTTCAGCTCGTAGGGAATCTCCGATGGAATCGCCGTGCACGCCGCGAGAACTCCGAGGCTCGACTTTTGTCCATTATATAAAAGCGCGCGTGAATCATCAGCTGGATAACGCGCGTGTCGGCGCCGACAGCGTTATCTCTCGCTATAAACAACAATGAGAAAAAGGATTGTTTCTGGCGACGAAGAGGATGATTATTTATCGCTGCTGTTAATCATGGTTACGCGCGCTTGTATTCCGCTCGCGCGCCTGAAGGCACAACGCTGAATACGCGCTTACCGATCCATTTCAAAGCTGCCGCGATACTCGCGAGCGAAGACAACGGCGGATTTGATTTTAGCGAGCAATTCCGATCGAACCTAAAAAAAAAAAGAAGTCCGTCGCGATGCCGGATAAGAGGAATAATGGACGCCGAGCAGCGTGCTTCGGGCTTCTGCGACCCATTCTTCGTGATTTTTAAGCGCTCGGCCGTCACGCTATCTAAGCTCTCTTGCGGAATTCGCCTTTCTTGCGGAAGTAACAATCGGATATACACGGCAATAGTGTGCGCGTTCGACCGATCGCCAGAGCCATTTTCTGCATACTTTTGTGTTACGTCACGTAATGTGACCTTTGGAAACGGGAATAGATCTTTTTCACGAGGATATGAATTACAAGACGAGCGCCGCCGGTGAAAACTAATTGTTGTTAACTTCCTTTTGTGGGCTTTACGTAAAAGACGATGAAAAAAATGTTAGCGCTATATATCTTTATGATCATTTTCGCTGTTATTTTTAGCTTCTATGCTATGCTGCTTTGTGCGTGCGTGCATTTTTTTACGTTGCACGCGAAATAATAGCTTTTTCCAGCGTCAAGAATAAATAATTTTCGGCGGTTTACGTTTACGCGGCTACGCGCCCGCGTAAATTACGTAAGTAATGAAATCAAGTGCCAAAATTAAGTGCAATACCACGATGCCAAGGGCCACGCGTGTTTATTATTTTTTACAAAGTACGAACGTAAAGAAAGCACGATTGTACTGGTGATCGTCATACTGTGTCTTAATTTTTCTTTTCAATTAAATAATATAATTTATGGCCAACTATCAATTGTCGTTAGTTCATTTTTAACTGTTAAAACTTTAAAGAGCCAATTGACGTTTTTTTATCAAGCAAACTACAAACTATTAACCACTAACTTACCGAGCGAATTGAAGTCGACGAAAGCAATTGTTTCGCCAACAGGAGGAGAAATGAAAATAACGGTAGTTTCCTCAATGATCCTGTGCAGCGTAATGAATTGCCTGTCAGCCATTTTCGCCAAAGACGCGAGGCTCCTTTTTTTATGACTTTTATGCCTTCGCTCGTGGCCTCGAATGAGCTGTTCCTTGAACTTCTCCGTTTTTCTGCCGTAAACGGTTATGTTAGATATCTTTCATGTATTCCTTTGATCTTTATAAATCACGCTAGCATCGAATAATTTATGAATGAGATCGACGGTGTAAAACAAATTTGTTTGCATATATATTCTGTATCATGCATAAAACAATCAACCGTAATTCATAATGAGTATCGAGGAGCAACAAATCATTTGAAAATTCAAACGACTACATTGCGGATGCAGATATATTTAAGGAAAAACGAAATAAGTCGACAAACACGAAGTGGTAATAAAGTCGTGAACTAAAATGAGCAAAAACTGTAAACCGAAGTTCAACGGTACCCCTTTGTCTCATCTTGCTCGTGTAAGGCAAATGCATCGGTATAATCACCATCTATGTCATGCAAATTTCGTTAATAACCATGTGCTTTCGTATTAACAACTCACTCACGTTATACTAAATAATCATAATAACGAAATGCAAATGTTGAGTGAAGCATTACTCGATGGTGAATTAGCCGTTTGGGCCGTGCAGCTGTCGTGATTGTTAGGACAGTATATATACTCGTATATAATGAATACAGACGACAAGCCGGCTGTTGCTTGGAAAGCTGTCTCACGGTTTGTTGGATAAATAAACCGTTTAGATTATACTGCGATATATATACACATTTGGAGCAATAAATGTCTCGCCGCGTTAGACAGTTTTCCAGTGCGTCCACGTTAATTGGCCGAACGGCGAGTCCAAGAGTTTCAAAACTCTGTGCGATCGGCTCGCGCTATTTAGCCTTACAGATACAGTGTCAAGTACGCGAGCCTCGATGCGTGGATGGAAGTCAAGCGAGATAATTTTGCGGCGCGATGATTACAAAGTTGATACGTCTTTTAATGAGTATTATTCTTATAATTAAATTCTTTGCCGCTGATTTGCAAGCGTTTACGTAGTAGATGTTTGCCTTTGTTGCGTTTCCCCCTCTACTGAAATTATGCAATGTCTATTTATATATATTGTTTTCTTACTGTCACGTATCGATCTATCGTGTCTTAATTTGCAGAACAAATACTTTTTAAAATACACACATCAATGTGCAGTCTCTTTATGTTCATACTCATGTAGTTTCTGAATAACGGACGCAACTATTCCCAGTGTAAATAAAGGGAGAGAGAGAACGTATACCATTATGAACAACCGTGTCGCAGTCTGCCATGTCGCAAAACAATTTTATCATCGTTGCTACGAGCGCGCGAAAACGTAAAAAATGACGCTTCTTTTGTGACAATAAATTTGTCTCGTATAATGTACGATCGTATGGACAATCGATCTTTAAATCTCATGCAGGGCTAATTGGCCAATAAACGTTTTCCCACAATGCACGAATTGGCGCTCGCGAGTGTACGGAATTTTATCTGGTTTTGGGATTGCAATGCGGAACGACCTCGAACCTCCGAGTCTATATCGGCGTAGGTCACAGAGTTGCGGAACTCGGCTCGGCACATGCCTGTTAAAGGTTCGACTTTCCTTGCGTTACGGTTGTCTCGAACGTAGGGATAGGTGCACGCACCTGGAAAAGGTTTTGCGCGCCTTCGGGACGTGACGGCTACGGCCGTGCACATCGCGAGGCTTTTTTTCCGAGCAGTTGACGGGTGAAATCATTCGGGATTCAAGCGATCGACCGAAAGCTCGGCCGAGAAGATAAAATCGAGTGCGGGCTCCAACGAAATAGGCGAGGAGAGAGACTTTTCAAGCCGACATAATTACCCGACACGCACCGCGCGCACTTTCCTCGATCTATAATTAAGGAATCGCGGAAACGGTCTCGAGTCCTCAACCTCGTGCGGCGAATTTCGCGAAGGAAGCGGCGTGCGCCCGAGTCCTGATTTTGTTTTTTACTCTCGTAACGTCTCTCGCGGGAATCGAGGTTAAGCCGACGGGCTTTAATTGTGAAAGAGCAACCTTTGGACGCGAGCGCGCTCCGCCATTCGCGAGAGTGTGCGTACGTATACGTATACGTGTGTGTGCGAGGCGAACGAGCAAACTATACACGCCTACGAGCGGAGAAAGCGCGCCGCGCGGAGTCATAGTCGAGAACCACTATACTACGGTTCGCTCGTTCGCCGCTCGAAAGTCCATTTTCTTTGAGCGGAAAAAAACGCTGGAATTTTATTTTATTTCATTTTTTCGTGTATTTTCCCTCGCCGTGCGTGTTTTTCGAAACCGACGGGCGGGGAGTCGAAGCTTCGAATTTTCAAAGTGAAGGACGGACGGGGGATCCATCTGTTAGGTCGTTTATTTACAGGGTTTTCATTGATTATGTTGGCTAACTTTTTTGCTGTTCATTGATTACACGTTCGCTACATGCAGTCTCGATAAATCATCGGAAGGATATACATCCATATTCATTGGCTTCACAGACATTTATTATAGCGTTGGCAGATTTAGTACTTAGGAAATTAAAATTTTACATCTTTTTTCATCGACTCTCGTCAATAATCCGAATGAATTGTTTCGTGATTATATCTCGTCAACGAAGGAAGATCAATGCCCTTATAATGTTTAACACTGTGCTAATATGATGTGATCTTTTGTAACCGAGAAGACACCATTTGTCATTCTTGCAAATGAGACATTTTTTCACGTAGGTCACGAAAACTTTCTCCGTTTCTTCTTCTTTTTTTTTCAAGTCAAGCCCAACATTGGAAAATCTGGCGAATCACGTGGATAAAATTAATTTCACAAATCTTGAAATCGTTAGATCTCCGTAATTTTTTTTTATACCGGCGCTCTACCGGCAAAATTTGGATATCAGCTTCGAATATGGAGCTTCGAATGGATCGCGAATTTTATACGTGGCGCGGGTAACTCGACGGTGGCCGCGCTCGCGCTACGCGTGCTGCGCCGCGACTCGACGATCTCTCACTTCGACTCCAGAAGCGTCCAGGTCGAGGGAAAATACGCACACTCACATTTTTTGCAGCTACTCTCTCATATCACGGCTGTGGCGCGTCAGCTCCCTTCTCTTCTCTCCTACAGTTTGCACATCTTGCTTTTTACACTTGCAGCGGCATCAAATGAGTCTGTCTCGTTGTCGACGAAACCTTATCCACGATAATGTTCGCGAGTCGCCTTTGGGAATGCCTTACTTGTCAAAGGCGGTAAAATAAAAGTACGGAGAAAGAAAGAATGAGAGTGTACACGAGGTCGTGGTCTAAAGCGCTTAGCGGTGAGAGGCCGGTGCTCGACTGAGGTACCTCGACGTGCACATGCCGGATATTCACTTGTCCTGGGGAATATTCGCGCCCACCACTGCGCCAAGAGCGCGCGTATACACATTACCGTTAGTCTAGCCGCCAACCGTTACTATCTCTCTCTCTCTCTCTCTCTCTCTCTCTCTCTCTCTCTCTCTCTCTCTCTCTCTCTCTCTCTCTCCGCTGATGCATCCTATATATATATCGAATGCAATGCTGTCTGCATCTCAACTTTTCAGTCTCGTTCGTTTTTCTTTCAGTGTCAACTCGGTGTCAGTGGTAACTAATGTTTTTATGACACTTCGTGCTTTATTCCGATGGAAGGCAATAATGCTAGAGTGCAACACGCCTAATGGTACCATTGCAACGATTGATGATGATATTGTATTGAACCGAGTGTTAGATCTTAGGTAGGTTTCGGTAGGATCCAATATAGGACTACTGTGCGGAAACTGCTGTAATTTTTTATCAACGATACATTTTTTAACACTTGACAGCTCATTTTGAAGCTTTTGAAAGCGTAATGAACTGGCGCGTGTATTTCTATAACGATATCTAACTCGAGCACTGCAACTCTTCTTTTTTTGGGTATGCATGTGGGACTACTTGATAAGGGGTATTTTTGTGTATCTGAATCATACCTGGCATATATAAATAAATTACGACTTCAATATTACCTACGTTTCTAATACTAAAAGCTTATTCGTAAATTATGGCAATGTCACAGTTACGTATAAACTGTCAAATTTTTTCTTTGGCTACGAACTAAAATTAAAAACTGAAAAATAAAAGACAACATTATAAGTTTTATTCATAGCTCATTGTTACTTTTTCATGTAGAATCACACGTGATTGAGTCGATACTTGACTTAATTACTTACATGAAAATTTTTGATGAAAACTTTTGAAAAGGTAAAAGAAGATGAATTTATTAGACGATTTTATTATTTATATAGAGTGATGTGGTTGTACGTTCGAGCATTGAATTTGAATGACATATACTTTTTTAAAAGAAATTCAGGGAGCTAAAAAATTGAATCTTCTGAGATCGAAATAGCTACTAAAAAATGGATTTCATCGTCGGATGATTTAAATCTATAGAGCTGTCACTGATCGATAGCACAGACACAATTTCACGATGCCTTATTGAATATAGGACACGTCAATTCAAAATACGAACATAGTTCCATATTAGCTCCAGCTTTTTCTGAAACTGCTTTCCCTTATGACAATCTTTTTAATAGCATTATTTAACAATATATGATTTACATTGCATATAAAATGTACTGTATAAGAACACTTTAAAATCTTATTTTCATCCACTTGACAAAATATATCTGCAATGGGCAGAACTTTCCCCGTTATTGCTCATATAAACAAAAAATGGAAGCTTATGTTCAATTTCTTCATTATGTTAAACGAGTTTTGAGAAACGAAGCATCTTTAACTGACTATATGTAATTGCATATACACTCATAAGACCGTGAGAGAATATGATATCTGGCCGAACGAGTTTTGTTTTCTGCTGCGACGAAGGAAGAAAAGAAATAACAATCCAGAATGTCTTCTTTCACTTTTGAAATGTTTCCTTTGAATGAAATCATAAGTGGCCTTATTCACTTGTTTACCATGACAATTTTTCAAGCGATTACTTTATTGTATATAGTCCAGCTTTCATTTACCAAAATTTTCCATTCTCAAAAGTTTCCACTTACTTTGCGACGCTGCGCTTGCGTTTCGTAATGCCTCATTTGGGATTCTGGAAATGTTATGATGAGGTTGAATTGGATATACTTTCTTTATATGACTATTTTGATTGAAAGGTATTTGATAGATTTCATCTTTTGACAGATAAAACTCTACGTGTTCTCGTGCATTAATTCTTGAGGATTAACATATAATCTAGAAATAATATATATCTCTGAATGCAGCTTCTTATACGAAAAATTTTCAGTTAGAACGAACAATGAATTATTCTATATTAGTGAAACGTAGCTCAACTATAAGGAAACGCATATTTGCATCTTAAAACAATGCTTTAATTATAAAATGACAAGTGCATGAAATATAAAGTATATAGAAATGTAGATTAAATTGACCAACAAAATTGTGTAGTTACCAAACGAGGAAGTGTTATAGCGTAGTGACCGAATGAAATTCAAGGCTCATGCTTGACACGTCTATCTCATCAATGTTAATTTTGCGACACCGAGGTTGACGCGCTTGTCAAGATGCTGTCTAATAAGCAAAACATTAAAATTGGAACGAGAATTTGACGGAACGGTACACCGAATAAGACGCCATACGAAGTTGTGCAACGTAAAATCGAATTACGAAACCAATAAGTTTCGCGAACTTCTTATTACCGCATTTCCATACGCAGTCGCGGGCTGAGTGAAATTACGCGATGACGTCTGCGGATTTTGCAGGTATAGACACAAGAAGACATTTGTTTTTTTGTTCCTTCATGCGAGCATGCAGTTTGCTGTATAACCGTGTGGATAATCAAAGACCGTTACCATCAATTTTAGTTTCCTTGAATGCTATTATTTTTTTATACAATAGCCGTTAAGAGTCTTTATCAGTCAGATTATGATCATGAAAACAAAGTTTAAGTACCATGAAGCTTTTGTATTTGATCGTTCTGGAATAGATTCTGAATTTCATACCATTAAGTCAATGGCTTACTTCCTTCCAAATCATTATCCAATATCATTAATTTTTTCCTATATTTAGTAGACTTATGTATTATAGAGAAATCTGAGAAACAATAGAACTACCTATAATAGAATACGTATTAAGCGTATAACAATGTGATTACATAGGTGCTCCTAAATTCGCAGTGTTTGCGCATTTTTATTCCGTTATGAATGGATATGAGTAAACAAATGGAAGCTCATTTTAGCACTCTCCTGCTGCGCTTACGTAAACTCCCATTGAAGGTATTTTATTCATTTGAAGCAATTATTGCTCGACGTAATTATTTGGGAACGTAAAGTATTTCTTTTATAAGCCCAGGAAACGAGTAGCCGACACGAATAGTGTTAATGGTAATTAATTAAAAAATGAAATAGTACTCAGGTTACGTGCGCTTTCAACAAACCGAATAGTCCATCTGTCCTCATCTTCCACAACACATGAAATCTCGGTGAATCGTGTAATGCTTGACCGTCGTCGCGAAATCAAAACAAAGCGGACTGTCTCTGGCCTATGTTCGTCGAGGCATAGCAGTTTATCATAGAAGAGCAGGCCGGGCGGGTCCCTGTCTTCACACTCGATCGAAATGGAGCAACTACCCGATATTAGAAATGTCCTGACGCCGCTGTCGCTGGGTACCAACGGCTCGCATCGTGCTTTGTGGAAACAATCGACAGGGAGATTTGCCTCGACACCTCGGCATCGTAGTGAATTGCAACCTCTGCGACCAACCTTTAAATTGGACCAGAATCATCTCGACGAGTCGCTTGCCGAGTCGCCGATTCTTCCCGCTCGTTCGAAATTGAGAAACGGTTAGTAGATGTAGTGCAAATTTTTGTTTTGGAGTACGTTGTTGATTTTCCAAAACGTTGTGCGATTGCGTGGTGCATCCGTGCCACTTGTCGGTTAAATGATGCTTACCACATTGACAAGATCGCATGAGATGACGCGCGAGCGATTGCAAAACAATGGAAGCTTTATTTCAAGTCCCCATTGACATTTCTGCTGAAGGTTTCGGTTGAAATTGTAAAATGTACTTCGTAGACATTTACGTAAAGCAAGTTAAATGCCAATTAAAATGGCCATCAATCTAAGTATAATGCTAATCCGGACATGTTATTATGTTTCTTTTTTTTTCATTGTAGGTAGAAAGCAATCTTTAGAAAGCGACCGGCTGAGTATTTCCACTAGTGTATTAACGTGCGTACGCTATTTCAGTAGACGATTGACAATTTTTATTCGTACACTTATTAATGCTTACGCATTTATCTTTTAAGGACGCTGGGCCGAATGGAGCTATGTGATAATAATAACGATAGTGCTCAGGAATATGTGAGTTCGTCTTAATTCGATGTTTTCTCGGATATTTCCGTTAATAATAAGATATTATTTATATTTCAGCTCCAGAAAAAGATCACAAACACAATGAAAAAAAATGATGAGGGTGAGAGTAGCTCTAGTATTGATGCTCAAGAAAAATTTAAAAAGCAATTGAATAAAAATAAAAAAAATAAAGGGGTATGTTGTAGTCGGAAATCAATATTACAGTTCAGTAAAATTATTTTTTAAATTATTTTCAGATTTCTCCGAAAAAGAAAAGTCCAAAAGTTTATAAAATTGTCTTGAAAAAATTTGGGCCTGAAGTAGCAACTAAAAAATCTGCTAGCTCAACTAAAGCGGCGTCTTCCGTTGCTAATGCAAAAAAGGTATCATGGCTAATTTTTTTAATGAATTTTTACCGCTAATATAAAAAATAATTCTTTATGATTCAGAAATCTCCTAAAAATAAAAGTCCTAAGACGTATAAAATATGTCCTACCAAAAAAGTTGTTAGCTCAAGCTCTGCAGCCAAACCATCCAAAAATCCAACTAAAGATGGACACGACGCAGGAAGTTCAAACGTCCATTCGGTAAATGTCTTCAATTAATTTCTTTGCAAATCTCAACTGGTTTTCATTTTATCTTCACAGTTTTACATTAAAAAATTGAGTATTTGATTATACTAACACTCATTGTATGAATAGTATGAATACAATTGAAAGTTTTAATTGGTTTTCCGAGCCATCTTAGTCTTAGTTAATAAAAATCTCCATTTTGCCATGACAGGAAAACAAATCCCTGCATCACGAAACTAAACATTCAGAATTGAAAATGTTACAATGCGCCAAATCTCCAAAGTTACGGACAGCCGAGAGGGCACTGATTAAACAATATCGTAGTGAAATGAGAAAAGAAAAAGAAAAATTTTATGAGAAACAGAAACAAAAGGTTGGTGCAGTATGTCAAATTATTCAAGTATGCTTACATTTATTTTTACTCATTTGTCATCCGTCCACAGGAGTTGGAGGAACAAAGACGTCGCGATGAAGAAAAAATGTTAAAACTACGGCAACAAACGCTATTTAAAGCGCATGCGATTAGGAAATATGCGCCACTGCCGAATCTTAAAAAGCGTGCTTTAACCGATCCAATATCACCCAACTTTAGCAAAAGACGGCGCATCGAGTCATCCTCCCAAAATAGTAATAATCATGCTAGCCACAATAAGACGTGAATTATTGAATAGTTTGACAGTATGGTTTTTATAATTGAACGCAGTAGTTTTCTCAAGTATTGTAAACTATTTTTTTTATAATAGTGAAAACGTAAAACTGATGACTATTTGACTTGAAATAACGTAAATTTTTCAACGACTCATTTACTTTTGGGCAGCATTATTATTTCGCGAACTGTGAGCTTGAGAGACAAGGCAAGACGTAGACCGACAAGAAGGTGTATATTATTTATCTTTGAGTTTTCAATCAGATTCATATACCAAAGAAATTGTCAAACACTTTTACGAGAGCAATTTAATTACTATTTTTGCGTACTTTTTCGAAATCGATGTAAAAGTGATTCAAAGTTACGCAACTCTCGTTTCTGGCTGATTTGTAAAACGTGGCACAGCAGTCGATTTAATTTTTACGACGCTTTCCAATTGGAAATTACTTTTGAAAAGCGTATACGAAGTCATTAACTATTGTATACTTTTGGATGCCACAAAACAATGCTGAACGGTTGGTTTACTTTGGCTACATTGGGTTACGTTGAAAAACTTTGCCATATTTGTGTAGATTTTGAATGATTTCGTTATTGGATTGAAATTGGTATTTACGAAAACAACAAAGTTTTTATTGAAAATTGTAATTACAAGAAGATAATATTAACGAAACAAGCTGAAGATTCTGTCACTGACTAAGTTTTATTACTCGTGATAAAATAATACTGTTATAAAAACCTATGACAAGTTTCATGAGAACGCATTACACATTGATTGTAAGCTTCATTATATATCATTTCAGAAGTTATACAAACTATTTGATTGTTTAGTACTAAAAATAAAACAGCAAATATTTTATTATGTTAGATTATTTTATTAATTATGTATTATTGTCATTATAATTTATCGGTTACTTATAACACTAGATAATATTGTCAATTACATTCATATAAATTTTTTAATATCATTGAACTGATTTAAACTATTTAGCCTTACGCAATGTGCTTACATAAAAACTAAAATCTTACAAATTCATTAGGAATCGATAACAAAAAATAAACGATTTATACAAATTGTTTCAGACAATTTGGAATCATACTCATAGTAAAGTTATCACTAACCACAGTATGTATTGCTTTCACAAAGTAGCGTTGAAGTGTTGACAAGATTCATAAACGGAAGTCAAAATATAAATTGTTACATTATTATACAAAAAAACTTGTAGCTTTTTTGAAAATTTTATATCCTCTTCAATTGGATATTGCTAAATTTGAAAATTTCATATCTACTACACGAATTAATTATAACTAACATTACACATCATTTTATATTACTACAGATTTTTCCTTAATTCACTTTATCTTTTTATTGCTAGTTCCGTAGGGAAATGGTAATGAACGAAAGAAAAGGAAATGGAATCGAAATAAAAAAAATGTATTTTCTAAATATAAAATATTCTAACTAATTTTGCATTGTCGATTATCTTTTTTCAAAAAAACGAATTTTCGGAAAGTGAAGTGCGTTCTTGTTCGTATTAAGCGCGCGCGCGCACACACACACACACACACACACATGCACACGCGATGATTAACAGTGCGAATGCATGAAAGTTAGTGCCAAGGTGAAAGAGAAGAAGCAGCAGCAGCGGCTTGTCAACGCGTGACAGTGAAAGGACGCTCATTGGAATTCATGTTCACAGTTACATTTTTCTTACTCGATGCATAATTCACGATGGCTGAACTGAACTAATGATTCTCAAAATGGCGACAATTATTGCTGATATAGGTGAAAATGGAAGCATAAGTAACTGAGAGAGTGCAGTTGGATATTATGTAGCGAATGAAGTACAAAGGTAATGGTAGTGCAATATATTTGTATAATTACTATTTATTAAGACGATGATTCTTAATAATGACCTAAAAAGATATCCAGCCATTTTACAATGGATTGCAACTGGCTGGTGACTTGAAAATGGGGAGAAGCGCGTCTTAAGGTACGCATTTGCTTTATTATCACAGATTGTTAAAAGATTCACGCGGAATTTTTCTGTTTACCCTCCGAATCATCTTATTATTGGAGATCTCTCAAAAAGTAACAACGATAAAAAAATTCTTGTTACCTCTTTAAAAATATGATTGTAAAATGACAGAATATCTTTATTATTTATACTATTATAATACGTCTTTGTAACGTCAATCGATTAGTTTTTTTTTTCACATTCTCAGTAATTCCTTGACGTACCATTCGAAGCAAAAAAGAAAAGAAGTTTAATTGCCATCTGTACTAGTTTAATTAGCCCAGTTCGCAGTTTGCATTGCACCACATATCACTCGAGGCGAATTTAATCACCGCTATAGTCTCAATACTTGCGTTTTAAGGCCATTGGGACGTACGTCTAATTGAGTCCAAGCAGCGACTCTGTACTTTGGCTTTATGTACGCTCATACTTTTTTTTTTGTTTTCTTTTTTTAGTAATCATTGTATTCGATGCTTTGGGTCAATTTTTTTGAACGGTTCGGCTATGCGAATGTTCTCACGTCGAGATGAAATTCAGGTCACTGTACCGGCAATTTTCAACTTTCAGCATTTGAGGCTCGTTCGCCACTAGTGTCTTCGTGCTGCCGGGACACACTGTTATCCTGAAATGAGTTATAAAGTCTATTTGAAACGATAATTATTTAAAAATAAGCTTTGAAACAAACGTCATAAAAATCCTCTTATAAAATGAGCTTAGAAAATAATTAAGGTGTACGATAAAAACCAAAGGCTATACTGACTCATTGTGAAACTCTAAGCTCTTGATCGTAAGCGAATCGATGTACGCTTTGGGCTTGTGCAGCAGTCTCCAAGTGAGTGGATTGAACATAGAAGTCTGATAATCCCAGGTGATCTCAACGGCTTCGACTTTGCCGACGACGTCGCCGGGAACGACAACCGTGTGTCGAGTGCCGGGTTCGTAGTACTTGGAGTTTTCGCTGAGCGCCAATCTGTCAGTGATCTTGCCGTTCTGCCCGAACACACGTATCACGAAAATGCCAACCTCGCCGCCGTAGCTGACACTCTCGTTCGTCTTGGAGATGTTTATCGTGACGCGGTAGTGTGCCTCTGCGAAGAGAAAGAACGCGCGTGCATAAGTCGTCCGCCACGTGCGCGCGAGAAAATCGGTGGCAATCGGCTGGCGCAAGTCTCTCCCACGCGGAAAGCCCTTTCCTCTCGTTATACGTACTCCGATTGAAAAGCCTTTTACGTAATTGGAAACCCGATGGCGCTCGTAAGTTTCACGATGTGCTCGCGGGAAACATGCAATTACACGCTAAGCTCGGCAAAACACAATTTCCTCGGTTATTAAAGCGAATCTGGTGCGCGGCTTTCGCGACGTTTAATTATAACACCCGTGAAAGTGCATATATAGCGCGTGTACTAACTGCAAAACGGCTTGTCCTTTCCTGTCATCAGGTAGACGGAAGCGTGATGATTTCCTGGCTGGGCCTGAAAGCCAAACCTTGGGCAATCCTGCTCGAGGCAGTCGAAGCAGCTGCCGTTCTGAAATTTCTCCCACGAGGCGCACGGCACCGACACGAACGGACACGGAGTGTTGATGCTTTCTATGAAGTACTCGTAACTCCTTATGTGATTGCAACCGAGGAACCTCTTTATTCCTGCAATGCATTGTCGCGCTGTTTACTGCTGCGGAATGCGGCGTCAGATCGGTTTTCCAGAACCATTCGTACAAAGTGAATCGCAGCCAAAAATCTCAACTTCGCGACACTTATCGATTGACTCGTTACGATCTTTTTCACAACTGAGTTGAAAATAACAACGCTCACCTCTGAAGAAACTTCCTTTTTCCAAAGTGATGGAGTTGAAAACACCCTCGTTACATCCTGGTTGATTTCTTCCTCCATTTGGATAAAAATCAATGTGTGCCACGGATTGACTAATTCCAAGACCACCGCTGATGAATGGATTGCAGTCTGTGTGTATCGCTGTGACGAAATCGGCGTCAGTCGGGTCTAAACGAACCATTGGGTTGGTGTTACTAAAGTGCGGCTCGGCTGGATCGAGACCTACAATTCAAGCTATCGCTGAGTAATATATTTCAATTGTCAATTTTTAGAAATTTTGGTTTATAGTTTTCAAGTACTTTCAGTCAGACATTTAATGTTATCAAATAACACTCGAATTGTATTTTCTGCTGAGTCGATTGTATGCAAATGCTATTAAAGGGTCTGGATTCGCTTGGCATACGTAATGCATTTATCTTATTATAATAATCAATGTTTCCAAGCTGTTATTTACCGGCTAATAGTACGATTAGGTGCAATTGACCAAATCTCATGAAAAAAGCTATCGTAGAGTTGGCATGTCCTTCCGGAAATGAATTTTATCGGCTCGTAATACCACGTCGGGGTTGGGTTTACGAATTACCTCACTTTTCGGTAATAACGCGACGGATACCCACGATTTTGCGCAACGTTGTACACACGAAGGGACGTTTCAGGAGTACAAATTTTACGAGCCAGTAAACGACGGATGTTGCGACGATTTTATTTTCTTTCCCGACGCTCTCGTTGTAATTTCATATTTTTTGCATATGTACTGCTCTGCGCGAGCTAACGATTTCCGAAGAAAAAAAAATGTATCTCGCTTCTAACTTTCGCGTATTTCGTGTACACGCGAGAAACATTGACGATTCATCGAAGTAAAGAAAAACAGCCACTTATTTATTTTCCGTTGAATTTTGAGTTTACTTGAGCACACCAAGTTTCGAACACCATTTGTTATTCGCTCATGAGACATTATTACATCACGAAGCTGATAAACTTTATCGACAGTATCACACTATTCGTTTATCTTATTATATAGAATGAAATTACTTTAACTGCCTGAAAATAATTCATTATATTTATATAACACAGCGGCTGCCTGCCTTGATTTATTATGTACATTAATTACACTTTGCATACGGTAAATACGTTGGAGACTTTTTTTTCATAAGGGTACACTATCGCTCATAATTCCGTAGATTTGCTTGTATCACTCCAGTTCTCGTAAACAAACTTACGTCAATGAATAGTCTACCATGGATTAATGAATTGACAGATTATGCATCTCAATCGCTTTCCGCAAAATATTTACGAGCCTACATTAAAAAGCGAACAAACATCCGCTACGCTCGCGCTAAAGTTTCTTATCCAGTTCTAGAACATTCAAACATATATTATTTATCCACGCGAGGAACCTGCGCGAAAGGCCATGACGTGTACGCGCGGGAAGCCAAGTTTGAACAAAACGTTCCCGGGCCTTGAAGATATAAACGGAATGGCCGTTTTCAAACGTATTTCCATACAAATCTTTGGCTAGAAATAGTGACTAGAAATAGTGACGCGTACGCAATGAGATAGAGCAATGATGGCGTACCCACGTGGTACTTTTTATAGATATATTCACGAATCGACGCGTACGCCGTTTTTTAACGAACGGTTCGTTTAAAAAGCGAAAAAGAATTTTGCAATATATAGATACCCGGCATTGATATGATCAGGCAAGGTTTGCGGCAACGCACACGCGGTACGAGCTAAAAGCTCGAGCAGAGGAAAACACGGTCGTGTTTGGCAACGGATAGGACGGGGTCCACATCGGCGCGGAGGATACACAAGCGCGTTGTTTGCGCGCGCTTCTGCCGGGGGGCGATGAGGCCCTCGGTAGAATCGATAGACGCCCTCTAAGCTTTACGACTTCCGTGACATTTTCTTCTGCCACTTCTTGTTCTCTTGTGCTCTCTTACTACTGCTGTTTACTTCAATTCTGACTTCGGGCGGCAGCGAGAGATCGCGGGGCGTGGTTCAGCGTAGTGATGGGCGATTATCACAAAAGTAATCGATCAAACACAATCGATTATCAAACTCTATTCCAATCGACTAATCGATTAATCAGCTCAAATAATCGAAAACAATCGGATAATCGATTAATCGGCGGAAACATTTTAATAATTATTATTTATTTATTAAATGTTTATTAAATAACACCGGTTTATTAAATAACGAAATTTATCGAATCCAACTATTATTATTTTCAAAGTTCCACTATACAATAATGAAATTGATCATGGACCCAATGAATTACAATAAATTTTTTCATGGAACTTTTATTTTTTGGGTTTGAGTAAAATGAAAAAGACTAGGCGCACAACGTAAGTGACATACACAAATTGATAATCCCAATATGATCATTTACAACACGTGATAAGCTCAATCACAGGTTTTTGCATAATTTCCATCGAGATTTATCTTTGTCTTTTTGTTTTTCAGTTTTGTTAGTGAATATCGTCTTTTCCAGATATTTTAATATTTTCATTGTTTTCAGTGATTTGATCCTCATCCTAGACGTTGAAAAATTTCATTAGTAAAATAAAAATCGTTGAAGCTGTATGTATATTAAATTCAGTTAAATTATATTCAGAATACTATAATATAATAAATATTTTTTTTTACTTACTACTTTTTAAAATAGAAATGATCAAATAATTTATTCTATTAAAAATAAAACCAAAATTATAATCAGACATAATTAATTGAATATCTTTGATTTTTCAATGCACCAGGGTGGGTTGGGATTTAATTGACTAGTTTTCCGTAACTAAAAAATTCAAAATAATTTTTGTAGCACACGCGCAATTTTACTTCGATTTCGATTACGAGTTCAAAATGAATCGAGCTACGATTAATCGTTGGCTCAAATAATCGACTCGATAGTCGATTATGTACGATAATAATCGGACGATTATTAAACATCGATTAAAATCGTCCATCACTAGTTCAGCGATCTTGCCGAGTAATCTCCGCACTACGAGGTGTGTTCAAAAAGTAACTTTTAGAGAATTTTTAAATTTCGCGGGTTTGGAGAGTCCGCTTGTATAAAATTTTTTTTTATTATGTTGGTACACATGCCCCTGAAGTACGATAAAATTTTCAGCAATATTCATTGCTTACTTTTTAAGTGGCAGCCGCTAACGTTAGACGTGTTTTTCGAGCTCGGCGATTTTCGTTTGTGAAAAAAAATGGATCAAAGAATTTGTATTAAATTTTGCGTAAAAAATAAAATAAAGTGTAGTAAAGTTTGTCAAATGTTAAAAAAGGCATATAGTGAGTCTGCTATGAGTAAAGCAAGGATTTATGAGTGGTATAAGCGTTTCCAAGATGGCCATGAAAACGTTGAAGATGACGAACGACCCGGACGCCCAAGCACATCAACAACCGATAAAAACGTGAAAAAAGTGAAAGAAATGGTTATGAACGATCGCCGAATCACAATCAGAGAAGTCGCTGATGATGTTGGCATATCAGTTGGTTCATGCCATCAAATTTTTTCGAATGTTTTGGGTATGAAACGTGTGGCAGCAAAATTCGTTCCAACCGAGCGGAAGAGTGAGCGAGACAGAGCGAGCGTAAGGAGGGTGTGGCCAATGCGAACGCGATGGATCAGGCCCAATGAGGCTAACGACTCGATGCAGCCCCGGCGGGGGCGAAAGCAGGGAGGATGTAAAAAATAAGCGACTCGACTCGGACCGACGGTCAATTGTTGTTTGTCACGCGCGTAGGAAACAGGCAGATTCTGTTCAAGTGTGTTAATAAATATCATTTTTAAACCAAAAGAAGTGCGTTGAATTACTTAATCTACAAACCCCTTTCTGCTCACTCCCGTCCCTTTCGTTGGCAATTCGTTCGTATTTTCAACCGCAGACTGTCTGTCAGCAGCCCCCTTCGAGAATGAGACGTTGTTTTCGACGCGTTGCTCGCATGGAATTACGATTTTTTTTTCCTTCGCGTTCGTTTACAAATTATGAAGATTTTTATGAGCTTTCACTAGGAAACCTTATCACAGCACAACTTTCAACACAGTTTCTAATATTCAAAGAGTCAGGAGGCACGAATAGTAATAATTAATACATAATATTGATCTTGTCAAAAATAACCAATAATATTTGCCGTGTACGGCTACAGTTATGCAGGCTTTTTCTTTCAAAGTAATCGAAATATCACCGCCTAAGGAAATCTAAATAGAAAAGAAATGAAAAAATTAATATTCCTTGCAAAAATGAATCTCATCCATGATTTCATGTACGAAAGCTTGTAAATTATTCAAGAAATAGTAAAGCAATAAATGCACATTCGCGCAATGAAAAAAACATCTCACAGTAAATGAAGATTCACACGTCAATAAGAGGAATATAAAAAAAGTGGATAAGAGAAAAAATTTGTTAAGATTATCCGACATACTTCGTATAGTTTGCGCAAGTCGAAAGTCGTTCTTTCTCACGCCGTGAAAAATTAAAACGAATTAAAAAAAGTGTTTTAAAAAATAAATATGTATTAAAAAATAAGTGTTAATTGGCCCCAATTCTAACATCAGCAAGCCTTAGCATACCGCAGAGCAAAATGCCCATCAATCTTGATATTGCAAAGTGGACGCGCCATGAATGCCGGGGCTACCGCCATGAAAAGCCGCAAACTGCTTCGCAATATCTATATAGGCATCGGCGCGTATTGACTCGGCAGTTCGACGCCCTGTACGACTCTGTTATCCTGGTAGTTCCCGATGAGATCGATAGCTTACGTAACGACTCGCGTATTCCTCCACCCAATCAAATCCATTGATTAGCTATACTTTCGATATTCGCGCGCCGTATTTCCACTTTACTTGGAAAACTTCGGTTGAAAATTTTCCCGGCTTTTCTTAACAAATTTCATTTCGTTCATCCGTGCGGAGAGATTGTTTGTAAAATATTAATTTTCACAATTTGTGCTATCGAATCGTAAATTGTCAGTTTTAAAGAGGGCCTGCGATCACAAAATAAAAAATCGTTTTTCAAACTTTATTTCGGTATTCGTGAAAACTTTTTCATAACTTATATCTGTACTTTCGGCATTCGAGAAAATTGTTCATAATTTAACAGTTTTACGCAAATGAACGTTCACGCGTTACAAGTACATGCTGTTGGTATACTACATTGCTCAACATTTGGTGAATGGAAAATCATGAAAATTCTCCGATTGAGAAACAATTGCTGCATACCTGACAAATTGAGTTTATCATTTGGCCATTTCACGTACTCTCGTGTCGACTTTTGCAATCGGATAATTCACAATAAAAATCTTAATCGTGGGTCGTGAGATGTCTATGCAAAAGTTAGCAGCACAATTTTCGCATTGCATTGACAAGACAATGTGCCTCGTTAATGCAAAGTTTTGCAATCGTTCGATCTTATAATTGTATTATATCTCCCAATTTCATTTTTGTAATTATTGTACAGTGATTGGCTTGATTTGAATTGTGAAAATTATCAAATTATCACGTAATACATTATGTTTCATTAAAAATTACATACTTCAATAAAGATGATATTGAATGAAGCTCAAAAAGGTCACTCTAAAAAGAAATTCATCGCACAACTTTTTGAAATGACGCGTATGTCTTTGGTTAATTTTGGGATTTACAGAATAAATGAATCTACAGTGGATTACCCAAAATTTATAAATGAATAAATATTTGAAATTTGTTCGAAATGATAATAAATTATTGCGTATTAAATAGCAAGAAAATATTTTTCTGGAATATTAGAATAAAATAAAAGCGCATACCTGTTATTCGGCCAAGCTTATATCCATATTGAACTCGTAAATTAGAGCCGACGTAACCGCAAGTGTGAGCGCCCAAGCTGTGCCCAATGCAATGCATTCTATTCGGGGAAATGTTTCCTTTTTGAATGAGCTGTGATGCCAAACGACCAGTCATAGCTCCAACTAGTCTTGTGTTAGCTACTGCCTGAGTGTACGGTGGCCCGGCTCCACCTATCCAACTCACCACGACAACGTTAGCATCTTCCCTCAAAAGTAATTCTCGCATTGTCCTCTGCAATGAGCGTTTGGTCAAGATGCTGTCGCATTCCAATGATGAGCATTACGTACCAAGACCCAAGTCTTATTTCCATTATCCAAATAGCCGTGAATGATAAAGTAAAGGTTTGCATTCCTCTTTAGAGGCGAGTCTCGAATCGAACGAAAATTGTCGATGCTCAGTTCGCGCGGTTGGTCGAGATGTCGTGTGTAGAGCATAAATAGTGGACTGATAGTTTCCGGCCGTACTGGAAATGTAGATACTGGTCTACTGCCGCCTGACCATGGGGCTCCGATGTAAAAGCAACCGAACGGAGGATAACATCTCCACATGTACCATTCTAAAAGCAATGTTTATTTCAATGATAATCGTACAGCCGATTGCTTGGAATTCATGCGTCGCGAATAATCGTAGCAGCGTTTATCGGTAATCGGTGACCAAGACATACAATTGAAGAAATATTGAGAAAAAAACCCTGCGCTATGGCTATCGTCGAAGGGGGTATGGCGATCGGGTTGCTCGTGGATAGGCGCACGAGAGATTAGGCTCTGTAACGTCCGGTTCTCCTTTAATCTCTTCTGTACCATTAGATAAGAGAATTATCAGCCGAAACAAGCGGATTTTTTCATGTATTCACAAAGAAAAAATATGGTTTGTCACTCGCGACCGAACGTTCTTATAACTAATTGTGAATGTGAACGTCAATAATGTTTTTCTTTCGTTAACTGCGTCGCTGATTAACGCGTTCGTATAGCCACTCAATGCCGCGCTGCAGCAGATTGGCACTAATTATGACGAACAAATTGTTATTTAACTGCAGGCATCGCCGCAGCAATAAATCTATCGCGATAATGTAACTCACGCACACACTCAAGTCAGACTTTTAACAAATTGACCATTGACGTAATTGTCTGCGAAAAGTTCAAGCGGCATCATTCCAAATCTCCGACCCCCAAAGATAATCATATCCGAAATAGCAAGAAACTCGTATGCGCCAGTGTAGAGCTTTTACTCTACTTGGTTCTGCGCTTGTGCGCGCTTATTTATAACTTGACAGCGAAAAAACAAGTTATTGCAAGTTTTCCCGCTCAACCTTATCGACCTTGTCAACTGCGTGGACGGCGTACTTTCACCCATGATTTTCTCCGTTCGAACTTACGAATCGGCCGTCGTTGCTCTCCCGCGTTACGTAAGCTTTCTCAAGTATGAGTAAACCGCGTGAACAATAGCGAAACCAAAGGAATATTTGCACACACTCGATGTCCGCGGTTATTTCGCCAATTCGCGTTTCACGGATTTTTCCTGTTGATGCCACTTCCAATAGGCGTTAAAGTCGCCGAGCCGTTCGATAAATAACTCGGCTATTCCGAGAGTAAAAATGTTTACGTATCGCCAGCTGCATTAATAATAGCATTCGCATAATAGAGCCTTCTCATTCATTGTGATAAGACTAATTGATTAGAGAGGCGGAAAACTTTATAAAAATGAAAATCAGAGTTGTAGTACATGGGAAGTGTTATGAATCGAAAATCCGACCGTCGCGGTGCAATAACCTCTTATCACCTGCACACCGAGCAATTTTAAATCTCGACTACAGCTCTTCGCGACGCGCACGTGGTGTCGGTCAGTTTTATTTTTTTCTTTTTCCGTCTTTGTTTTTGTCACCGGCATCTCTCGATCGTGGGGTTATCACCGGCGCCTTGAGATATCTATTTGTTTCTTATAAGCGGCCCTGAGTTATCGCAGTTCCTTGAATGCGCGGACGTGCCATTATTATGTCTATGCGATTCGAGTCTGCTTTGATTCACTGGCTACAATGTAGCGAGGTTCGATTACCGCGTGTTTTTATCGATGTAACTCATTGACGTAGTATTGATCTCATAGTAGAGCATAATTAAAAACTTATCCTTGCAATGTAACGTTATCAGTTTGATTTTGTACTCGCTCGCTCGAGTATTTACATTTCTTTTACTTTAGAACGCCGACTTGCAGCGAGATAGTCTTGGAAAAATCTGCGCATTTAAATTTCAATTTCAATGAAAGAATAATAAAAATTATCTCTCGCATATGTGCGATCCACGATTTCGTTCGGTTCCCTTTCAACGCATACATCACTAGCACGGATATCTTTCTCAATTTACAAATCTTTCGTCTCGTTTGCATTTTTTCAATTGCAATTTCAGTCAATACAGAACAACGTCGAGTCAATCTAACTGCATATCTATTACCAAAATATGCTTTGCTACGTTTTTCACCTTTCAGAAATATTCACTTGTCTGATTGGGCAATGCTTTTTGTCGGTTTCAATTTTCCTCACTATTTCAATAACACTGTTCATAATCAAGAGACATTATTCGAAAACTCATATTCAATTTTACTAAATATATCATTCGAACAAAATTTTAACACAGCTTATTGCAAAATATATTGAAAATGTAGGTCATTTCATCCATTTTCTATTTATGAATAACTTATTAACATAATAACTATTGTAAAGCAAGAAATGTCGCTTACAGCACACAATAATATATCAAATGAAAAAATATTCTATTTACTAGAATTAAATCTCTTTGTTATAGTATATAAAAAAATTCGTATATTGAGTATGTTAAAAAAATTAGTAATTTTTTATTAGATGTTAGAATAGAAGCTCAGACTTGAGCAAAAATGCTGAAATAGCTGATCCAACCAAACCTTCCTTCTATCAATACTTCGCAAAAACGTAATTGACTTGTTTTGATAATACAGCAACATGTGTAATTCAATTGATTAACATTGAATGTATCCTAAAACAAAGTAGCGTACCTTCATCATACTCGAACGTGCCGTCCATTTCTTCGGAAGCCTGCGTTGTGGTAACAAATACCGAATGCCGGCGTTTAGTAAACCTACCGTCCGACGGATGCGTTAAGCATATAAATAACAGCAAAATTGCACTCGATGTCACCAAAGGCTTCATTCTTAAAAAAAGAATGTGCACTGTTACGGGATGTTGCGCGGTAGGAGCGCTCGTGAGAAACTAAAACACGCTGGAAGAGTCCTGCTGCAGTCAGTCGAGGGATTAAGCAAACCGTCGTCTCGGCTCGACGATTCGAAATTAAAAGGTCACCGCGCGTCGGCCGACCCGTCCGAGGCGTATCAAGCGTGTGGTCGTGGTAGCGCGCTCGAGTGAAAAATCGATTGACGCAAGAGCCGCGTCGTCGTCGCCGTCGTCGGCTCGCGTGGCGTCGCGCGTAGAGGAAAAATCGGCAGGCGCTTTTGCAATTGCGCGCCCCCTCGGGCAGCTTGTAAGCCCACGTGATCCGCGAGCTTTACGCCGTTATCGCGCGGCGTCGAGATTCCTCTGCCGCGGTGTGACTGTAATCTTCGGCGCTTTTTCGGGCGGTCGTGCAATAAGCGAGAGGCGTATAACAATACGAGTACACGTTGGCGCGCACGCCGCTGCGGCGCGTATTCGCCAGTTCAAGGCGCGCGCTCAACTTGCAGCTTACGCGCGCAACGAGTGCCAGCCGGCGACTATCAGGACGAGTACGTATAACACAGTCTGGACTCTCCAACCGCACTTTATCTTTTTCGTCGCGTCGGTTTTTTCGATGCCAATTCTCTCTCTCCCTCTCGCTCGCGTAGAGCGACGATCGAGATAAGCCCGACGCATCAGTGAAATAATTAATCGTTTCCAGCGAGGCGTCGCGCTTCAAAGGGAGCCGCTCGTTATCCGCTTTTCCCAGAAGCCGCTAGAAGACGACCAGATGAGCCCTGTTGTTCTCACAATCCGGTGATGACGATCATTCGTCGCGGACAGAGAACGGGGGCATCTGACGTGCAACGCTCGAGCCCGAGGTCGATGCTTATCGAGCTTTCCAATTTTTCTACTGCCGCCGAGTTGTACTCCTGATGGTTAAACTCCCATTTGTCTACCCGCGTGCGCGTGCCATTTCTTTCGGTCGCGCTAGATTATTTTTAAGTGTCTCGACGGAAGACGCGCCGCGGGAGAAAATCGACATTGTTTTTTCAGTGACTAGGCCCTTGGGAAATGCCTTTTATTTAACGATACGTCCACGCGCAATAACGTATGACGTTCAAAATAGATTGTTATTTGGTAATCAGCTGTTTCGACTCGACTCAATCGAGTCTATCGGTGGGAAAGTTTTGATGAATGACCTGGAGTACTATGATTCTGAATGAATTGACAATCATTCTTCGGAATAGATATACGTTATGCGAATGGTGACATTAACAATAGTAATGAAGAATTTGCACAATATCACTTTAATTTTCAAACCAGCTTTCCGTAAAAAGTGTAGTTTTCAAGATCCTCGGACATCGACTGCCGCATACGAGTAACCGATTTCTGCCATTCACTATCGACAAAACTAAATATACTTTCAATTTACGTTATACCTACTCTCTAGTTTATTACAAACCCTTCAATTTCAATAATAACAAATACAATAATTTATAAGAAATCTGCTTTATCGATTTAGTTATCGGTAAGACGCGCCCATGTTAAGGGTATGCTTCAATCGAAAGTTAGAGGATAACTGCGCTGGCTTTTCTAAATATATATGGTAAAAGTTACCCGTTGTTCTTTATATTCTAAAACGTTATTCTAGCAACATTTTTTTCTTCTACTTATTTCAATCTAATAGATAAATATTACGTTTCGACTGTCGAAAATTACTATGCTTCGCTACTGGAAACGTCAATTTCTCGTTGGAAGTTCCAAACCTTCACACTCACCGAAATTTTGTTATCCAACAATCGTTAAGTTGCGCGGCAACTTATAGGCAACATGCTCGACCCTGTATAACAGATATGATTAGTCGGCACATCAGGAATCAGCTGTTTTTCGCAAGGTTGACCGTCAGGAAAGAATAATAGGTAGCTGGTATATTTCATGAAAATTGGTGCGGGAGATAATGTACGACGTAGAAAACGTTTTCCCGACGTTCAACTGAATATCCTAATTAGGAAGTTATGCCTGATAGGAACTATGCACGTTTTCATCCTAGAAAAGCGCCAAGCCAGTGCTACAGAAGGACTTGGGAATAGTTTCAAACAAACTCCGACAGTTGCGAAGCCGAGAAAATTAGAAAACTCGCCGTAAGGAAATTCATTATCAGAGTCCAAAGCCTATTGTTTTGACCTGTGAATTATTTCAGAAATTTCCTATTATCCGGCGGCTGAACGCATTTTATTAGGCGCGAAATTTTCATAGCGCGTTGAATGTATGCAGTGTGCACAAGAAATTGTTCATCGCCCCCGTCAACTGGATGTGTCAGCATCATAAAGTTAAAGAGCCAGTTGATTCTCGAGTAGTTTTTTGACAGGAAAGAATCTGCGGCAGCTGGTAGTGTTAGCAGCTGCAACGGACCTCAGCTAACCAGATCTAAAAAGGAAACGTTTTTCTGACGTCTACGTTCCGACCCTAATTAGGAATTTATGAATTAGAAGAGGGTATTCCAGTTGCATGCACTTTTCTGGAAATTCCTACCGATATTTTCAGTTCGCGCTCTTAACGACATTGGATAGTTGTTCTATCCTATCGTAACTGGAGTTCGATTGATTTTTATTTTTAACGCCAGAGATCAAACAGTTATCTGTATTTTCTTGCAGCTTATCAGGTAAGAAGAATGCTCTATGTCTAGGAATGATTATTGTCAAATTACTCAATGTTTCATTTTATTATTTTATTAGAAAACGATACTCACACATATAGTCTTTATGACTTAGACAAATATGCTCTGTTTATCAGTAGAGTGATTGTTAAAAATATCAAACAAATGATATTTGGTTTTCGAGTCTTCAGCTGGACAGGGTGGATTGTAAGATTGTAAGAGAAGATTCTAGTAGACGCCCGTACTGATTCTTTTGTCATGTGTCGGTCTGGCAGAGATCAGCTGATTTTCGTGTTAGCTGTTTCTCAGGAAACAAGCATTGTGTGGTTAGTCGGCGGAACAAAACTTACGAACTCGTCAATTATATATATATATATATATGGTATTGTTGTGCTCATTCGACGACCACTTACTAGGGAATCATCAGAGGGATGAGCTATTATAGCTAGTTATGCGGAAAACTACAAATCAAATACAGTGTACAAGCCTTGAAAATACGTTTAGGTCTATGTAAACGAAGAATTGACAAGCTGATAAAAACTGATGCCGACCTTGGAGCACTCAACTTATCGTCTCTTTTTATGACAATGTCTGTCTTCGATTAAGAGGCCATCTGAGCTTTAGAGCTGTTTTGGTACAAAACTCGAAAATTTTTCAAAACCACAAGGTGCACTTTCACAAACAAACGGAATTCGCTGACAGCGATCAGGAGCAGAAAGAACTATGAATGATTTCGGAAAACCTTGGGATATTAGGAAAATATCACACACCGTTAGTTTTCCTTGACAATTTGGCAAGTTTCTTTCGCGAAAATTTACGCACATTCTTTGCGTGCATTCCGAAACGAATTATTGCGAGTGTAGCGAACAATCGAAATGCGTGGATTCGTAATTCGACATTAGAAACCAAGCGAAAATAAAGAAACATTGTAGAATTCTTTTAACGAGTGCGCTTATGGCCGATACAAGTTCGTTTGTAAAACAGATGATGCTCGTTCATCTGTCACATACCAGGAAAGTAAAGCCTTCCAGAAGTAGTTTTTTTTCCTTTTCATACCTGACGGTGAGGTAGTCTGCAATTATGTGAAACTACATTTTACGAAGCTACTCAAATTTTCTTAGGGAAACATAAATATCCGAGAGCTGGGCTTAACTTCAAACTGAGGATCTTCGTGAAGTTCTAGATCCTTTGCGTAGTTTTGTAGCTTTTTAGTAAAGTTAATTGTATTTTTTGCGATCAGGCAGTAGCAGTATGATTTTCGCAAAGTAAAAATTATTATCTTTTGTGAATTGATAGGCTCTGCGTCTGTATTCAAATTAAAAATTGTTCATAAGACTATGTATTCAATAAACAAAAGCAAAATATTTTTACTATTTAATGAGCAATTTTTAAATCCATTGATTCTCGATGCAACTCGACCAAAATTTGCATTAAATAACTAATTTTCGCATAACAATTATGCAGTAAGATTTAAGAAAGATTGCAATTATACATTACTGCTATATTAATCAGGTATTTAATTTAAGTAGTCTATTATTCGTTGAAATTATATTGCTTATTCGCAACTTCCGCGACATCCCTGTTAGCAATTGACTCATACTACAAATTTTCTACGTGCACTTTTTCATAAAATTGTAATAAATCCGTAGAATTTTATTTGCAAATTTATGCTTCTTTATAAAAAATGTAATTAAAAAGTCAACGAAACTTAAATTTTTTATAAAAACCGCCGTAATAAATATTTGTATTCTCAATATTTTTCATGAGTGAAATCAAAACTTCTATTTAGCAATTGACGTGACATTTGCGTGAATCGATAATATTTACGAGAAGTCAACTTTTTCACGATTTAAAATGTGTACACACAAAATATTACTATATATGCACTCGTCGAACTTGAAGTAATTTCCTTTGGTCTAGCTACGCTATTGTCATGTACTCCTAATACTCGACGCTTCTGTAAGAAGAACCGGACAGAGTGCCGGAATTCCTACTTGGTGTATAATACGCATTATTGGAACAACGACGCAGCTGTAGTGTAGATTCGATACAATAAACTCTAATTTCTATGTGTCTGAACTAAAAATAATACGTCTGACTTTATAAGTTCATTCTCAACGTAGACGATGTAACCACTATTTTTTGAGCCAATAACGAAAATGAGCTAGAAGATCAATTATTTTCGATAATCGAATTTTTGCCTTTGATAAATTTAAAATAATGAAACATATAAATCACACTTAAAAAATTTATTAATAAAGATTTTAATTATAAAAAATTATAACTTTAGAATATATCACTAATAACAGTTATTTTCTAGACGAAAATGGTAATATAAATAGTAAAAAATTTATAATAATTTTTTTTCCATTATCGTTCTTCTAATACATACGCATATAGACCAGTTATTTGTTAAATTAACAATCATTTATAATCATGCTTTGTATATTTTTCCAATTATGAAAGTAGCAATAATTATATTATTAGGTAGCTAAATATTATGTACACTACT